CCATGCATTTTTTTTGTTCCTCAGTTATCCTTTTACAATTTCAAAGAGTAACTTGCACTCTGTTGGAAGTCCTCATGCTTGGCCCATGGTGCTTGGTGCACTATGCTGGCTTATTGAACTTATTAAGGTAATTATAAATGAATTATATTAACTTTGATACATTTTTGTCCTGATTAATGATTGTCAGCAAGTTGTATCAGACACTTTCAATGACAATAGCAACCACTGACTGCATGTGGCTTTACTTGTGGAGAGACAAATAAAGTAATTAATTATATTTTTGTTATGATGTTTAACAGCATGCCATGAGTGTTGGTCAGGACATTGAAGGTCATGTTATGTTCCCTGACGACAATTATGGAGCTGGTGAGGAATACCAAGACGGACCACAACCAGAAGACAAGGTAAGTCATGAATAAGTCATGATCCGTTAGACTGGTTGGCATGTGTATTCTGAGAATAGTACTGAAAAGAACTGCTGTTAGTAGCAGTACATGGTTTGAACCTAGGAGTAAAAGTTTATTATTTCAGTATAGTCTAAAATCATGGATGAGAGCCCCCTGCAAAAGGCTTTCATTTGTTATTGATATTTTAAGTGACTGGTTGTTCAACAACCTGAGGAAAAGTCATCATGAGATCTTACTTGACTCTGATTAGGACGCCCACTCAGGCTGATCAAACTTGAAGTTTAATTTGATTGTAAATGTCACTTACCTATAATTCACTAGTCTTCCAAGTTTACCGTACAGTTCAGTTGATGACAGCTTAATATGTTTCTATAATTTCAGTACTTTTTTAGGTATTTGGAGAAAAGTTATGCTGCTTTCATGATGGGTACAGAACTTGATGAACTGGGAGAATTTGACAATGAGTTTTTTGACAACATCCGTAAGTTAAATGTTAGGATATGAAAAATGTCTCTTGACACAAAAATGTTCTTAATTTTAAGTTTTTCAATCACCAAATCTTGAGAGTTTTAGAGATTACTTATCTATAATTAATATCTGGTCACATTTGCTCTCTTTTCAGGATCAAGAAATGCTGTCTTGCTTGAAGGTACAGTGTAAATAATTGAATAGATTTTCTAAGCCTCAAAAATTTAATACAAAGTTTGGTGGAAATCTGCCAAACACCACTAAGTCAACAAGTTAACAACCTGCTTGTATTGTCAACAGTGGTCAGTGAACAGATTCTCTTATCAAACTTAGTTCAGTTTTGAGCAGACAGTGAGGAGATAACAAATAACTATCAGTATGGAGAATTGGGTTTCACATTAATATTTTGGAAGAGAAAAGATTCAAAGAAGATTTAGAAAATCCTTTTACATTCATTTTCTCTCAGGAAATGAAGACCTGATGAGAGACAGTCTGATGCTAGAGGAAGAATTGAATGCACTGAAAAATGATTCTGTGAGTACTTACTCAGGGTTTCATTAAGGGCCAGGGACCGGGCAAATTGACCGGTTGTGAGGATGGCTTTGCCCACCTGATTTGACCATCTGGAGGAAAGTTTATCTTATAAAGAAGTTCAGTTCAAAGAGTTTTGCCCGCCTGTGAAAACCAGTTGCCCTCCTGCAGAAAACATTAATGAAACCCCTGCTTACTATAAAAATTGTCACATCTCATGTTATTACTTAATGTGGTTATCGGCAAAGGTTTTTCAAATGAGAGAAGTTCTCGAGTTGGGATGCAACTTGAAGTCAAAGAGGAATAAAGTCTCAGTTTTGAAAAGAGACACTCTTCTTCGTACAAAAGAAAGGGGAAATGAACAAGCATGTTAATATTTCCTTCCTTTGTCGATGTACCCCTGAGCTTTGCTATTGACTTTAAATTTTAAAATAGTGAAAAGTAACATTGAATAGTAATTGTATACTTAGTTGTTTGTTTTCTTGCTTTGCAGTCACGTCTCCAAAGGTTGGCTGAAAGAAAGATAACGTTAACCTCTGATAAGTAAGTTTTAAACTGAAGTGGACAGAAATTTAACATGCGCCTTGTTATTTATTCTCTGAATCATGTGCTGTAAACAGGTTGAATGTATTACCTGAAATCGTTACTGACTGTCAACTATTTCCCGTCCTTACCTTGTAGAGAAAAGTTTCAGAACTACCTGGGAGACTTGGAGAAGAGTACAAAACAGTTGGAAGAAAAGAATGACCAGCTTGTTGAGGAACTGAGAGGACTAAGTAATATAACAATGGTTGTAGTTTTTTTTTTTTTTTCCACATGTATTGTACATTATTTGATACTTTTAACCTTCTATTAAGGTATGAATAAAATTGATTTTCATCATATCTGTAGAAGTGGAACAAGATGCCATAACACAAGAAAATGCAAGTCTTCAGGTGAATACATGTTACAAGGCTTACTCACTGTAGATGTATGACTGTCTTCAAATGTAACTCCAAACTTAAGGCAAGGTTCAAGTGTCTGACAAGCCCTACATTTGGGAACGGTTTTTATAAACCATGAAGCACTTTCTGACAAAATGGTTAGACATTCAAGTCTTTTTGGATATGGATGGAGCACTGAAGACCAAATTTTGTAGGGCAAGGTGGGGTCCTTTGCTTCTCAAAGGGGATACCCCCTTTACATACTGTACCCTTAAAATACCTTTACCTTAGCACTGTGTGCCAACTGAAGTAATTCCTGTCCACTTTAATTGAACTTATCACTATAAAGCTTTATTAAGAAACTAGATCAAAAATCTGCATATTTTTTTCTTCTTTCATTTTCTAATCACTACCAGTACTTGTTTCTATTACAGCAAACTCTAAACAACCAGGAGCTGAGTTCTGCAGATGTTGAAAGGATGAAGCATGAGAAAAAAGAATTACAGAAGGCCATAGAGCAACAAGAAAGGGAGAGAGATTATTTTAACCAGCAGATCTGGGAAAAAGAGATGCAATTTGCAAAAAAACATGAAGAGGTTAGCTCGTAACAGGGCATTCAATTTGGAACATCTCAGTGACTGCAATATAATATCTTATAAAAAGTTTTGTCCTGTCACTAGTGTCAAAGTCAAAATTGAAAGCCTGATTTCCGCTCATGTTGGAGCAACTGACAGGATCTCTTTTCACCAACGTGTTGTATCCATTTTAGACTGAGAAGCATGTCCGAGAATATAATGAAATGGCAAGGAATTTGAAACTGATTCCACCCTCGGCAGAAAATGCAAATGGTATTGATTTCGAGATGCACTTCAATCCACACTCACAAAGACCTGACCAAAGAGCTCACATGGACTTCAAGGGAACCATTAAGGTATGTACCAACAACTAACAGTGACTGAAACTAGACGAATACAGCAAATGAATGTATCTACTAGCCAAGGCTATATGCTTTTGCTATAACCTATTTGCTGTATTTTTCCCAAGTGGCCCTTTTTTTTCGTTACTACTACAAAATATTTAAAATTAACATTTTTTTTATTTAACAGCCTGCCCTCCTTCATCTCAAACAACAAATCAGTGAGAAGAGTCGCACCACTCAGTCTCAGGTCATTACTGAAGAGGAAGCATTTGATCAGGTAGAAAATTTAGTTACTGTTACTCAAGAAAAATAAATTGGTTGGGAATGTCACACAAGTTAAAAGATGGGGGAGCTAGAGTGGGGCCAAAAAAGGTTTTACAGTCTTTAGAACTATCTGTCATGGTTAGAATGAGAAATGAAGGTGTTTAAAAATCATTGATCTACTGATTTAGAGTCTGTTATCAATAGAGGACTTAAATTGATAATGACTTTAAACAAACATTAACCATTCATTTATAAAGTATTACAATGCATAGAGAGAAAATGATTCCAGTCAAGGTAATGAAATTGTCATTCAGGCTGCACTTTGCCTTGCCAGACTTCTAATATTATGCTCTTGAATTCATAAGACACTTTGTGCATCCTCAAAATGAGGAGTTTTGCTTAACATGGAAAAACAGTTTAGCTGTTGCACTTTTATCCAAGAGTTGACAACCTATTATAGTTGCTGTACTAATTAAATGCTGTCTTATGAAAGATAAGTGAGATGGTGACAGACAAACAAGAGGAGGTGACGGCTTTAGAGGGCAAACTGCAAGTGCTGGACAAGGAGTTAGACTGGAAAAAAGAGGTATTACAGCAGCTGTGAAGTCAACTGATTAGAATGAGTCTAACTTCCTGAATTGAACAAAAGATCTGAGAAACTCCATAATCCTTCAAAGTTGTTTGGTAATACGATAGCGATGAAATATTGTGCTCAAGAAGAAACAATTTGGACAGCATTGTTTCTTTTTTGGTAGAGGAGTACAAAATTAATGTAAGGTCTTAACCAACAGTAGGTGGTAAAATTAGATATTTAAGAAAAATATCAATTATTGAGCAAAAGCAGAGAGCCTTGAAGTTATTTCAGCAACATGCTCCAAGACTTTATTGAAACTATCACCTTTATTAGCTACTCTTCAAGTTTTCTATGTCACCCTGTGGGCCACTCTTGCGTTAACTATTTCAGACCTTGCCAATAAGAAACGCATTCTATTTTAAGAAATGTCTTATTTGTTTTTGTTGCTGTTATTACTGTTTATTTTTTGGTCATTTATCATGGGTTTGCCCGAGTTAATCAATAGATAATGGCAAAAGAGTACCAGAAAACTACTGGAGCTTCACAGGGTTTAGAGGAAAGTGTCCAACTGATGAGAGAAAAAGTTCTAGAATCTGAAGAGACAGTGGAGGACAAAGAAAGCACCCTGAAGGGAATTAAACTCAGGTTACAACATAGTAAAATAGTGTCCTGTACCGTGAAAAAAATTAGATGCGAAACAGACACTGCAGTAAGGTTGATTAAACCCATCAACAATGGATGGGCTTGGGGAATGGTGCCAGGTGGAGGGGCAAGCTGAGCTGAACGAGCAGGGTATCCATGACAACCCTGTAAGCGGCAACCGCCAGACACCATCGCACTGAACCAACGGTGGAAACTACAATACTTACCACATACTTGCCATTCAAAAGGGGATTGGTGGGTTGGGGGCCAAAAAAGAAGCAAACTAATTGCATAATGGCGAGAAGCAAACGCCAAAATGACTTCCTATCCAAAGCAGAGCTGTAAGCACATAGTCCCTAACCCTGGGCCACCCCAAACATCAACTCCTTGGGAAAAAACGGCTGGCCAGCATTGTTTTGAGTTTAACTTAGCCTAAATTACATTTAGCCACATTAACTCGGCACATGATGAACATTCACAGAGGGTACAAGAACAACCTTCTGCGGGTATAATGTGTTATTTATTAACCCTTTGACCCCCAAGAGTGGCTAGCATTTAATTTCTCCTTACAATATCACTCCTGAATCACACATTAAGGACATGGGAATTAAAGGAAATGATCACCAACTAAAGAAGTTCTTGAGATTGCCAAACAAATTCTCCTTGTCGGCACCTTAGAAATATATGGAGAACAATATAGAGAATATGCATACAAATACAAGGGTGACGAGGGTTATTAATATACAGCTGGTTGTGGTGAGGCACCTTCTGACTTTGATAAGTACGGATTATTGCGAACAACAAAAAATGCTTTTTTAACTGTGCTCATTGTTTATCATGTAGGGTGGAGCAAAGTGCAGTTGAGCAACAGAAGGAGAAAGAGGAATATTCTTACTTCATACTGAAGGCAAGCCACATGATCATGGAACACAAGACTCTTATTCAGGTAAGATTGTTACATAGTTGTACCCATCCAGTTTCATTACCAAAATTTGACATTGCAGGTTGAAGCAAATTGAGACCTGAAAGTGACAATTCCTTATCCCATGAAAAATTCTCAACTTGCAGTATCAGCAGACTCTGTTATTTTCCACCAGCTTAAAAAAACTTCATGAGAAGAGAAAATTTTTCTCATACTTTTCTTGGGCTTTTAAATGTGCTTCATCACCTAGTTGTTTTGATATTGTCTTCCATTATTGACCTTTCCTAACCTACTGAGAACGATTTCAAGGTGTATGTTGTAATGGTTTGTCTACCTACAAGCCTTGCCAAGTGTGTTGATCTCAGTTTATACATGATGTGAGTGTGGGGTTTGGTCGAGTTTCCTGTTAAAGTCAGTGTGGCATAGCTATCAGTATGAAGAATGAATCACCCTGACTCGTTAGTTCATCATAAGTTTGCTACCATTTGTCAAAGGCCTGTTACTTTCTTGCATCACTCACTTCAAGTGAACCTGTAACAAGTATGAGTATTTTGCTCAGCAGTAATAATAATAATTTAATATTTATATTGCACAAATGAACATGTGGATATGATCAAATGTGCATCACAACACTTTTCGGGGGACTTTGGCCGAACTGCATCAGCAGTTTACAAACAACCAAAGGAAACTTATTTGAAGATGCCCCCTCCCCCCAATTCCCATTAAACAGGCCAGACCACATCACAGTAATCTCACGAGTGGGTTCTTTAACATCCCCTGCCTTACCAAATTAACTCATTAATAGATGCAGGTGACCGGACCTACAATTTATTTGTCCTTATCTGAGAAGACTAGAATGTCTATCCATTTCTTGATATTATAGAAAAGCAGTGCATTCTCCTCAGTTACTTCAAGACCTTTTATGTTGGTCCGGCCGAGGCTCAAACCATCTACCTCCCCCACAACAGTCCAGCGCTCTAACCAATTGAGCTAACCGGGAGGCGGTTAAATGACAACAAAATAATTGTAACCTTGTTCATAACCAGTTGACTGTTCCTAAACAACAAACAAATGTGCTGAGTTTTCTGCTGCTATCAGCCTCTTGTTTGTACTGAAAAATGTTTTAATGTTGTACCTTTCAATTTCAGAATCAAATTCATGAACTTCTGAAGCAAGCAGAAGAAATTCATGAGGAAACAAAACAGCTGGAGATTCCTAAAACATCAATACAGATTCCAGAACAAAAAGGGGAAAATTAAAATACAAGCTCAGGAAGAGTTTTTCCTGTTACTGTTATTTGAATTTCTAGTATACATGTCTAAGGCATTGTCTTATAGAAACATGTGTTAAGTTTAGAGCACATTTTCCTTAACTTTTTTAAATAACTGAACAACACACTGAGTATTTTTTGTTGTCAAGGAAAGTGTAAAATAATGCTTTCACAAGTTCCCCTCCAGAACCTCTCCTCAGCTCTAGCATGGAATTTGAAACTGCCTTAATCATTCTTACATTATGTGGTGCAAATGGTTATCTGGTTTGTATAGTTAATCATTTGCACCAAGTGTTTTAGTACAAAATGCAATATCTGAAAACCTGTAGTTGTTTGTGCAAGTTTATCAGGAAAGATTTCAGTCTATGTAAACTAAACAACTTATTGCTTATACATATCATCCACTCATTCTTATAGGGCAGCACTAAATTTGACTAAGTATCAGAAGTCAAATCAAGAATTTGATGTACAGAGTATGTTGTCTTCTGAAGGAATAAAAATTGTCTTCATTTGCAAGTTGCACTTTTGAATAATTCCACTAATCTTGATGATCTTTCCTTCTATACTTAAAAGCTCAGTTTTTTGTCCAAAACAATAGTGAAGAGCAATGGTGTAGCACTGGTAGAGGGACAAAATTGAGGGTTATCTTTCCCTTCTCTTATGTGCCTGAACTGTCACACCGCCCGATGAACTTCTGAAACAGGCTCATATTAAACAGTGATGATGGTAGCCATTTTCCTTGACTTTGTACATTTTCTCCCATTGAGTCCTTACTTCAACTACCACTGGTTGACAATAATATTTCTGGTTTAATATCTGTGGCTTGAATGATGTTTATAATCGTGCCAAGAGTGTCTGCTTCTGTGGCTTTCGGAATGTTTATGTTTTTCTTGATAGTGCTTTGAACTCCTGTCTTTGTTCCTTGGAGAATGATCCCTATTGTGGATTTTAAAAAAAAATCAACCATGGAAATATTAAAACTAATGCTGGAGGTTCTATCATTTCCAGTAAGGGTTACTGCCAAATATCAGTGGCTTGGAAGCACCAGAAAAAAGTGCAACTGTTGCTATCTTGTTACATTGAAAATACTGAAAAAGTAAGTAAAAGTTACAGGGGAAAACCCCCTCAGTTAATCTAAATTTTGGATTATTTTTATTGAAGTTAACAATGAATACCTGTCCCTTCTGCTTTTGTGATCTCTTGGTTTTCCTTCAATTTGCGATTGATTTTTCCCCTTGGTATTCTGAGAAAATAACAAAATTATGGTCTTTACATCACCATAATGATTATTGACAAGAAGAGTGGATGACAAAAAATAGGTTCCATGACTGTAGCAGTTGATTTTTTTACATATTAATAAGTATCTGATGGATACTGTTACACTTCTCTTACTTTATGACTTCTTGAGTATTCATCTGCATATTTCTTTTTCTTTGTGATTCTCTCCTCATCATCAGCACTATTACTGGGGCTTCTTCTTTCCCGCTTGTCTCTCTTCTTTCTGTCTCTTGTACTGTCATCGCTGCTGTTACTTTCTTTCCTTTCTCGCCTCCTGTCTCTTTCCTTTCCACCACGTTTTCTTTCTTGTTTGTGATCTTCACTGTCATCATCACTGCGCCTTGGTTTTCCTACTTTTTCAATTCTCGACTTGGGAAAATCTTTATCCTTGTTTCCTTCTTTCTGTCCTTTCAGTTTATCCCCAGATTTTCTATCACTGTAGTTGTCATCAAATACCAAATCATAGCTTCATTCAAGGAGTCAAGGAACTGAACTTTGTGATACAGCTTTGGTAATTTAATTCTCTAACATTTTGACTGAGGAGTTCATCAGTAACCAAGAAACTTGCCTTGTATGCCAAGTAATTTTGACTTTGACAAATGGAGAGGAGGTAGATTTAAAAATAAATTTAAACTTAGTTAGTAAGCAGAGGTAAAAGGATACGTTGATGACTGCTTTTGTCCCTTGATGGCAAATTTAGGTTTGCCCTTTTCACTTTTGTCTGGGAAGACTGGTTTAGCACCTGTGTTGAAGAGGAAAGACAAATATTGAAAAAACTAGCACTGGAAGGCAAAGGTGTACATAAATGATTCACCTGCCAGATATAAAACTGTCTATCAGACATTTCCAAATCAAACAAATACAATCCTTGGTTGATATTGCGTTTGCTTTCTTCTCTTTGCCTTTATGCTTGAAAATGTATTAATCAAATAATGTGAGAAAAAAATTCCTTTTAAACAGTAGAATACACCCAGCTAACATACCGGTAGTTGCAGTTTATACTCCAGTGTTGACATCTCACTGAAAGGTGGAGGATTTAATGGAAAAATTACCTTGCTTTTGCATCTGGACTTTAGCTACTGATTGTGAAAAGTCAACATGAATTCGCCGATCATCAATGAGCACATTATCCATTTTAAAGTAAGCTCGTTCACAGTCTTCAACCTAATGTGCAAAAGAAACATTGTCAGGTCATTGATTAATCCCATATCACTCACTGGTTAATTTAATACATAGAAGTGATCAAGGGTCAATTTACATTTCATCAACTGAGCTGCTAAAACCAAATCATATTGAAATACCCTCCACCAATGTAGCACAACAGTTTCTTAAGAAATTTATCCACTTCATCAACATTTACTTACATTCTCAAACTCAATGAATGCATACTGTAAAGATTCTCCAGTCTTCTGATCACGTATGACCTCACAACTGAAACAAAACAAACAAAGTAAAGATACCAGTACGCTTGCCAAGGAACAGTAACCCAGCAAACATAGCGGTAGCTACACCTGATTTAGAATGATCTGATTAGCTTTTTAACTCCCATGAGTGACCAAAACAGAATTTCTCCTATCTATCAATAGAAAATCACAAAAAAAATGTATTGGGGGATTATTAGTTGATCCAATAACAAGTTCTCCAAACTAACATCATAAGAATTGTACAGCACACAGAAAGGAGAATTACTCAATCAGAAGATCATGGGAGTGAAATGGTTAAATAAAAGACTACTCAAGGAATTCACAGAAAATCATACCTTTTAATTGGCCCAAATCTTGAGAAAATGATCTCCAAGTCTTGATCTTGAGTGACAGGATTTAATTTACAAACAAACAAGACATTTTCTGGGGGTGCCATGTCTGCATCTGGAAGATCACCGACCTGACAAACAATAAAAAATATTTTTTTATAGAACTTGGTTACAGGCTTACTCTGAGGTCCAAAGTTTATAAATATAAATGAGGAAATTTCCTTTCCTTTCCCCTTGTCAAGCCTAACATCAGTATGCATATTCATCATACTGTTCACCATGCATTTCCTGAGGTGCTGACAAGGACAATTTGTTTGAAAGTCAAAAACTTCTTTAGTTGTTGATCATTTCCTTTATTCTCCTGACCTTGATGTGTGATTCAGAGGTGATATTGTAAGGAGAAATAAGATGCTAGTCACTTGTGGGGATCAAAGGGTTAAACTACAAATCCAGTAATGTACAGTTGGCAATTAAGACAAATATTTGTGACAATGAATTTGAGCTGAGATTGAGGTGGCCCAATAGGGTAAAAAGTGAAAAAAAAAAAAAAAACACATTTTTGAAAATAGCAGTTTCAGCATCTTTTGTTCGTTTACTTTCAAGGAAAGTCAGTTTTTTTGCTATGTGCCCATCACTTTCATAACAAAATTTTAAATTTATGAAGCATTTAAAATAGTTGCTATGGAGACCAACATTGTTTATGCATCGTTTTGGGGCAAGAGAATCAAAACTTCCAAACCAGCCACAAAACCCAGTATGCCTTGCACTTCTGTCAGTTGTGCAACACCAGGCCAAAAGTAACTATATGAAATCTAAGCATGCATGATGAGCCTAGCATTTTTGTAAATCTATAATTATAGTAATTTGTTGTAGCATTAATACATGATCACAGTTATTTTTTCCTGTGAACACACCTGATAGCTACCATCAATTTTGGTCGTCATTTTTACCAAAGCAGTGATCATGCCAGTTTCACTGATGGTTTAACAAATTATGAACAACCACAACCAAAACCATTAATTAAAGTCATCAGACCCAACTCCAGTCTGAACAGATCCTGATAGGAGGTCTTCCGGGTGACAGTACACCACTGGTGACTGGCCTCTGTTGAAACCTGTGCCTGAAGACAGATTCCTGTGAGTAGTTCAAGAAAATATAAAAATCTTCCTCCTGGTAATTTACCATTTCAAGGATTTGTGTCCCAGCTTTAAGTTCTCGCTCCTCTATCATCTCGTCAATCTCCTCCATGGTTTTACCTTTAGTGTCGTCTATTTCTTCGTCAGCTCCTATGCGGCCACTCTGAAAATATTAAATAACTTCCTTTCAGTCTATGTAGACATCATTGCCAAGCAATCTGTTCCACACAATTTGTGTTTCTCATTCTATTGTTAAGGTGCTGGGTATATCATGCTTTATCCCATCGTTATTCTGTTTTCCTCTGACAATCATGTTCTTTAATGAACTGGACTTAATTTATAAAATAAATAAAATGTAATTGGACATTCTGTAAATATTCTGTGACAGTTTTGAGAAAAGATACCTTGAGCTTGTGCAGCCTTTGCAAACAAGTACCACAATAAGAAAATGTCAAAGCAAAGAAGCTTTCACTTACATCGAGTTGTTCTTTGGTTGGTTCTGGCGATCGGTCAGGTACAACTAAGCCAGGTGGATCATCAAATGGATCATCAATAATGACAGTGTGGTTTATTCTGTGTTAACCATTAACAAGAGAATGCATTACTTTTTGAAGTAAACAGCTCACAAACTTGCATTTAAGATCAAGAGTACATAATAGAGAATTCATAAGGAAAATATGTGAACCAGCAGCTGAGCAAGTTGAGAGCAGTCCCCAAGAGAACAAAATGCAAAGGATCCTGTAAAAATTCTATATATTAAAACCCAGGTCAAACTCCTCATTTATTTACTTTTTAACAACTTAATTTTGAATTCTTATTTGAAAGGAATGTATTTGCCAATTTGTACATCATGTTACATTTGGTTAAACTTGAATTATTATGATAGTGTAAAAATATCTCTCTGGTTGCAACTACACAGGACTTCATTGGAATGGTAGTAGTGCAGATTAAATTATTTGATAGAAGAAAATGACTTAAGCTCACATCAAAGTGAAATGAATACATGCCTGATGTCTTGGTATGGCCTGTGTTCGTCATCACAGATTGTCTCATTCAGTTTGTCCAAGACCTCAAATCCTTCAACAACTTCAGCAAACACAGTATGAACACCATCTAGATAGTCCAGATCATCTCCTAGGGTGATGAAAAACTGTTGGAAATTAAAATAAATACGGATTTGAGCATACAATTATAACTTGGATGATACAATGACACCTCTCTTTTGAGGCACCATGTTGACTTGGGTAACACTTTTTCTCGTTCGGGGAAGTCCTCTTAGGAGAGAATCTCCTATAACTTAATACTATTGAACAACTTTGTCTAAGAAGAACTCGTGACAAATATGCTGAATTAATAAATTATTAATAAATTATGAATGATTCAACAAGTTATCAAAAAGGGAGGCTGTGTGGCTGAGTGGTCAGGGCACTGGTCTTGCAATCTGGTGCTCCTGGGTTGAAACCCTCCACACTGCTACTTGCTTGATTTGTTCTTGGTTTCCCTGAGTTCACCTCCTTGGCTGCTCTTTGTATAAAGCCAGCTGATTTGCCTCCTGCCAGTTGGGATTTTTAAAAACTATATCTATTCATCTGCATTGGGCCTGGAAGCCCTATCTGGGAGAGGGGTGAATGAAGTGTACATACATACCTACACACATTCAATAAACTATGAAATAGTTTGAGATGCCAGCAGCCATAAATAACTGTTGACTACTGATAACTTGTCTCATATCTTAGACAGTTCAGGTACCAGGTTATTTGTACCATTTAGTAAGTGTTGTAAGGGATGCAGTAGCTCAGAGGTTAGAGTTCTAAATACCAAGTTAAGAGGTTTGTGTAAGCACCCTGGGTGCACAATTGCATTGTATTCTCAGGAAAGAAAATTAACTCTTACTATGGCTCTCTCTACAAGGAAGCATAAAAGGGTAGTAAAATGTCAAGGTAACCTATGAAATTTCAGGAGGTTAACCATAATAGACAAGATAATTTGGATATATCAACAAAGTTGAAATGGTAAATTGGCCACCATAACGATTACAAAAGCTGACGTTTCAAGCATTAGCCCTATTGTCGGAGTGAAGGGCTAATGCTCCGACGAAGGGCTAACACTCGAAACGTCAGCTTTTGTAATCATTACGGTGGTAAATTTACCATTTCAACTTTGTTGATATATCCAAATTATTTTGTTACCCCCACCGACACAGCCCCAAACAGTTTCTTTCAAAACTATAAGCCTTTATTCATAATAGACAAGTCTCCCTTCAAAGTGGGGTTGACATATTCCTTGTTGCCATATACTACAATAAGCAAGGATTAGTACTGGCAGTGACTGTTCACTTGGCCTCTAAGACTTACCTGCACAATTCATGTGGTGTCTCACAAACAACTCTAAAACTCCCCTATCTAACGTTCACCACTAGTGAATGCCAAAGAGATACCCCTAAAACACTTCAACTTACTTGAGAACCATGTAAGTTGTCTCCATTGTTTGCCATGGAGACAGTTCCTCTTGATTTATGCTTAAGGCGAGGTTTAGTTTCTGCTTCAAAGAATTTGGCTTGATCTCCATACAAGGACCTGGAGAACAGGAAATAAGTAATCAAGAAAAAATTAGCACTGCAAAAGTTAATTTACCCTGTTTTGAAATGGTAGTTGTTGTATGGTTTCACACATTCTGAAATATCAAGGAAAATTTTTAACCAAATAGAGACAATTAAGTTTGACTTAATTTTCTTGAGATTATCTTCAAATGTGATATCACCAAGATAAATTTTTTATTTACTGTTTACAGAAATGTAACATTTGAGGTAGGGACAATATATTTTTGCACTACTTTCCCCTATTGATTACCTAGTGCACCATGAGAAGTCAATCACAGCCAACATCAAACAACCATTGAGACAAGCTGCCAATAACCAACTGGGACTGGTGGCAACTTCTGAGATGTTTTTTTCCACCTCTCTGCCCCACCCCCCCATCCCCCCACTGACTTCCCCTTCCTTCTCACAAGCACGTACCTGAACACAGATTCCCCTCCATTTCCACGACCAGTTGGGTCTCCAGTCTGAGCCAGAAAGTTTTGCTACATGTGAGAAACCAAAGGTTTAATGAGCCACTAAAACATACATAGAGAGTTTAACTTTATGTTTTTTACCTATCACGCGTGTTAAAGACGAATGAACCTCTTACCTGGATGGAATGAAACAAGCAGTAGTTATAATACTTTATCTTGCACAACTTCAAAAAGTTGAGGCTTGCTGAAAAACGAAGGTAACAATGCCCGTGTTTGAATCGAGTTTCAAGTAATACTGTTTTAAGATACGCTTAACAGCCAACGTTAGCTCAATGGTTCTATGAATTCCTGCAAACTTTGTAATCAATGTACAGAATCTTCCATTAAATAAACCTTGCTAATCAGACAACTACATTTTTACATTTAGAACAACTTTAACAGACGACGGCAATCACCAGCCGAGCATCAAAATAATTACCAACCAACAGTAGTTTTTCACATTCACATAGCATTCCAGAAAAAATTTCTACAAACCTCGAGGTCTTTCGGAGGTGAAAAGATCGATCACAACATCTCCTATCGTTGTCTCAAGAATAACCGACATTTCTCGAAAAGAAAACCTTCAAAAACCCAAAAGAGTAATAATCACGACTACAAAGGTTTAAAATTTCTTTTTCGGGGCACAGAAAGGCAATAATCGCACTAAACTTAAAGGTAAAATGCCGACAAAGCTACGTTGAAAAGCCGTCGCTGAAGCCGCCATCTTGGCTTTTGTGTTAACGTACGAAAAGATCTGGGTACTACGTCACCGAGCATGTAGCTTACATAGAGATGATATGAAAGAGCGGGAGTTTTCGAAAACAAGATGACTTCGTGTCACGAATTTTTTAATCGTCTCCGAAAGCTTGCTTTCTCGGTGGATAAGGAGACTAACGGACTAAGAGAGGCCTTAGAGAATTCTGAAATTTCTGCCTATGATGAAAATCGAGCCTGTCTGTTAATGCGTGAAACTTTAGCAGAGGTTAAGGCCTTGAAGGTAAAGTAACTCTGAGAAACTCCTGCTATACAATTATTTACATCGCGATCGTGTCGGAAATGTTGAGGATTATTTTGAAATCAGCTTCTAAGCGATTTAACAGAGAAGAATACATTCATTTTCTGTCTTACATAAAACTACTGAATTTGTTTTGTTTGCTTTGTTTGTTTTTTTGTTTTTTTTTTTTTTACAAGATTAGTAGGCCTGAGGGCAAGCTAGAAGATTAGACACTTAATTAAAGTTGTTGATTGAAGATGTATTGCGGACTGTAAAAACGACATATGGAAACTGTTTCTATTATTTTTTTAATTTCCTCTATTTTTTTTTTCATCCATGCAGAAAGAAATTAATGCTAAAGTGGAGGATTCACCCCAGAAATGTACATTTGAAGACTTCATCTCTGCTTGTTCAAGAATCGTGAGTCGGACGAAAGAACAAATGAACGAACTAGAGGATCACCTGGTAAAATATGGATATACCAAGCCCATAGGTAAGGCGTTTAAAAGAAAAGTAAAATCATTAAATTTCTAAAGTGGTGAGAGGCTCACCAGAAATGTATTCTTTCAGAAAATTTACCTGATGTGACCAAAGTTGCTACAAGTCTTCCTGAAGACAATGGAAGGTGAGCCATAGATAATGTGAAGATTTATTTTGAAATAATGCTCTCAGTTTAAGTGGAAAGTACTTAAACAACTTACATTTCTTTTAAACACTTTTCCAAACTTATGCTTGGGTTCATTATACAAGTAAGTATCAAATGATTAACCCCATACCCACCCCACCCCTAACCCTCCGCCCCCCCCAAAAAAAACCACAGTTGAAGAAAATATGCTTCCCTTAAAATTGTGACTGGCTAACAGTTACCTCATTTTCTAATTCAGTGTTCCTATGGATGCTGCTGTAAGCTCTGAGCAATCTGACAGTGGAGATGATGCCTCATTTGAGAAAACTTCAGATACTGAGAAGAGTATTCCCATGGAAATGAACCAGCTTGACCAGATCAGTGGTGCAGGTAGGAAATACTGTCAAGACTCAAGAAGCTGATTCTTTTGCTCAATCTAGAATACTAAAATACACATGAAACACTTGACCCTTTACATTCAAATTTCAGTATGTATATTCTCCATACTGTTCTCTATACATTTCCTAAGGTGCTTACAAGGAGAATTTGTTTAACAATCAAGAGCTTCTTTAGTTGGTGATCATCACTTTTATTCTTGTGACCTTAATCTATGATTTGGGGGTGACACTGTAAAGAGAAATGAGATGTTGGTCACTCTTGTCACTCAAAGGGTTCATTTGAGTCTTACATGTTCATCAAAGCAGCCATAGCATTGTCAATCTGGCTTCATTGTATCATATAACCAGTCAAACAGACTTAAAATTTATACCTTATTTATATCTTTTTTCTCGTGTAGATGAAAACCTTTTGTTAGGTTTTAAAAGAGAATGCAGTTTTTTCGTTATATACGTGGTATTGTTTAGATAGGTCTGAAATAGCCACTGTAAGGAATAACAAGTGATTCTTAGTAACTTAGTTGACTGCATACATCAAATTTACATTTTACAGATGTTGAAGACATTCTTAAAACTCCTGAGCCACCAGTGACATTCACCAAAATGATCGAGGTCACTCCACAGAGATCACTCGATAGTAAAGAAAAAGTCCTAACTGATACAGAAATGAGATCCTGTTCAACTCCTGAAGCTCCACAAACAAACACACCCATGATAAAACCAAGACTAATGGCTGAATCCACAGACTCTCCAAACAGCATCAATTCAACACCACAGGGTTTCCTTGTCCCACCACAGCCTGTTACAGTCACACCAATGCTTAAGCATGCAGACCTTGCAGCAGTGACTCCACCTGGTTTGTCAAAGGGACAAGAATATTCGGATCTACCAGCCCCACCCATCATGGGTACCCCAGGATTCAAGACAATTGTGCTTAGGGAAGAGGAGTCTCCCGTCAGTGGACTTGAATCATCCTTTAGTTTGGATAGTCTTCCACCTCCCCCTGACATTACATCTGTTCAGCTCCTGAAACCAGGTAAGGTATTATCTCCTACATGATTATTTTTCAAGGCAAGATGTTGCCTCATACCCACCAACTCACTTAGATCTTATCTCAACTCTACATTATTTTTCTTCGTACTGTCTGTTTAGCACGTGTAAAGGATATGTAGAAGGGGAAACGGGTTTCATTAAGGGCCAGGCACTGGGCAAATTGACCAGTTTTGAGGACAGTTTTGCTTACCTGGTTTGACCATCTGGAGGAAAGTTCAGTGAAAAAAAGTTTTGTATGCATGTGAAAACCAGTTGCCCTACTACTGAAAATGTTAATGAAACCCCTGGGAAGTCAAATACCTAACAGTAACTGAAGTGCAAGATGAGCCTTAGGTACAGTTGTTAAAACCTGGAGATGGAATCACATTTCAATAATGGCACTTCACTTTACCTCAAATTTAATCCATCCTCACCTTTCCCTGTTCTCCTTGTTTCACCCCTGTTAAGTCAGTTTTTTTAGTTCACAGCTATTATTTAGGTTTGTCACTCAATATTGTTCCCTCCCCACTTGAGAGTGTAGATTGCACGACAAACCCAAAGGGATGGGTGGAGTTTCTTCCTACCATTAACAACCAACTGAAGGGCAAAATGCAATACCAGGAGAATATGGAGTGAGCTCAAAGGGTTATTTCCTCATAAAATGCTTACTAGAAAATGTTGAGATATTCAAACAACATTGTAAATTCTACAGATGACGTAACAGCTCCTCCAATTCAAAGCAACCCTTTGGCTGTATTTGTACGGCCTCTTAATGAACAAGAGTACAGTTCATTACCAGTATACGTGGCCAATCAGTTTACCTTGGAATCCATCAATCAGCATCTCCAAACAATAAATGGATATTTGGCAGGTAGCAGTCAAGGTAATACGAAGCATTAATTTTCCATTTCAACTCATTCAAAATGTGTTAGTAATTGTTGTAGCAGGGTTCATATTGAAACCTTTGTGATCAATTTATTGAACTTTTTTTCTCTTTTTTTTTAACATGGTTGAGTCCTTAGTGATATACATCTATGTGAGTTTACTATTTGTAACCAATAACATTTTCAGAAAGGAAAAAAAAAACTTTATTCATGCTAGTGAAGACTTACCTGTGGCAAAGGCATTATGTTGGAATTGTTTATTCCCTCTGCATCCTTGTTGAGTTGATTACACAGTCTGGTAAAGTTTTGTCCATGAAAAATCTCTGTTTTCAAAAATTCCCTTGTTGGCTTTTGGCCTTCTTTAATTTTACCATCTTCACTGTTGAGGAAGTTTTGTCAAGGAAACTTTGCCAAAGGTTTTTAGAAGATTCTGGTTTTATTTGAATGGGAATACTAATACAGTCACCAGTTGATGCCCTTTTTACAAACTCTTATCCATCGCCATCTGTTTTGTTTCTAAGTAATTAATTTTAAGGTTTTAATATTTTCTGCATTGATTTCAGTGCAACATGAACCTGTCATGGTTGAACAGGATCTCAGAGATTTGTTAAACCTGGGAGCAGCTACTAAGGCATTCATGCTGGTATTGGTGAAAACAGGACGACTAAAACTCACAGGGAAGAAGATCATGTTTTTTAACTCTGCATAGGTCAGATCTAAGTACTGGATTATGACCCTTATGCCTTTTCCTTAAGAACAGCTAAGAATAGCTAAGAATAGCTTGTTAAGATACTTACTTGTAAATTACTATCCAGGAACGTTTCCCAAAACACTTGGATCAAAAGAATAACCAACAGAAAACAACAATAAATATATAAGTAGCTTTATTATCCAACTACACTTCGTAGAGTACAAATAACACCATAGACAATTACAAATATCACACAGTATTTGTACTCTAGAGTACAGGTTCAACAGGTTTTCTCGCATCGCGCAAGCGAAGGGTTGAATTGTAGTTACGCAAAAAAAAAAATGGCGGACAATTTGAATCGTATTTCCCTCAACGAAGAGTCAGAGTGGCTGGCAAATAAACAAATATTTGGCAAATATTTGATGAATCGAACGAAGAAAAACAGCTAGACAACCTGGAAATTTCTTCATTTACAGGGTGTCAAGTGACAAATGACACTTAGAAAATAGGAATGACAGTGGCCAAAAAATAGGAAATAAATAGGAATTCTCACCCCAAAATAGGAAAAAAAATGGGAGGATTTCTTTGAGTTCTATCCTCTTAACACTCCCAACAGAAACTTTGTTCCACAACCCAATGCTTTAATATTTAACAGGCACCATGACATACATCCATAATACATTGCAGCCCCACTTCAACATGGCCTCCCAGAATCCCTTGTATGTTATCAAAAGCACTGAGAAAGTCTGGGCACTAGTTTCAGAAGAAAATCACTCAGAAAGGCTTCAAACTGGTCTTTTTTTAAATGAAGTTTCAGTTTTTTGTAGAATTTATCAATTTTATTTCAACCCTAAAAAAATAGCAAAACTAGGAATTTCATGAAAAAATAGGAACTTGACACCCTCCATTTATTGAAGAAACAGCAACCTGCCAATCCCATTCCGCTTTGCATACTTCTGTCACGCACTCCCCGTAAATAAATATCTGCAAAATTCACCCCCACTGAAATAACAGTTTGGCGTGTTGGATAATAAATAACTTATTAGACGTTTTGTTGTGTAGCATCGCTGAGTATTTTTACTCGTTATTTGTTTTTTGACTCACCCTACAGGCTTGTCAAAAATATAGCACAACTCGTAAAAATACTCAGCGATACCACACAACAAAACGTCTAATAAGATATATTTATTTCACTAGGGTGGACACTCTACAGTCATTAACTGACAAACCTGCGGCCCTCCCTTGATTACATGAATTAGTAAGTCACCAGGCTTTAAGAAAAATGTAGTGCAAACAGAGCTTAGGTGTACATTTTCAACACTGTAATCATGCATAAGGACTGTAAATGTGTTTCACATGTGTGACTCTGACCTTCTGTGGAGTATTACATTTTAATGTTGTATCCGAGTATTTGGTGGAAATGTGCTGAACAACACCCAAATACTTTTTAATCTCATAATTTTTGTTTAAAATGAATATTCATTTACTGTCAAAATGTAATTCCACTCCTTTTACTGAAAACAGATAGTTCTTGAAAGAAGAACAAGAACTCACAAAGATGATGATTTACAAACAACAGTAAAACTTATTTTGATATTTTACCATTTGTTTTAAAACAAAGTTAATATGTCACTGCCAGGCTTTAGGGAATAAACTCACAAATCCTAAATTTTATTCCCCAGAACCTGGTGCCGAGGTCTGTTGTTTAACATTGAATTTAACATTGAATTTAACAATTATTTACCTCCATAAGTAGCAACTACAATATCTACCTTGAGAATAGCAGTATGGTTGGAGCTCAGTTAAATCTAATTCACATTGTCAGACTGTTTTTTTCCTCTTAATTTTCTCTGTCTGTGGTTTTCCTTTAGTATTCAATTGTCTTTTGAGTCCCTTCATTTTCCTGGTTTGTAGTTTAGAGTAATCTTGCCGTTGCATGTGTACTTTTCCTTCCTTGGTACCAAATGCATCATATGAGACATTCTTTATTTTCTTGGGCTGGAAAGGAAACAGAATTGTTAACAACATGTGACAAAAGAACATAATTTAACAGTGGTATTTTGATCAGGCTTCTCCAACAATTCACTGGTACCCATTTACACTCCTGGGTGGAGAGTGACACTGTAAGAGTAAAGTGTCTTACCCAAGAACACAACACATTTGACCAAGCCAGGTCTCCAACATTGACCTCTGGACCCAACGTCCCGCAAACCAATGCATCTCACATCTTTTAACCCTACAACTCCCAAGATCTGATTTTGAATTCTCCCCTCTAGCTGCTACATATTTCCTTGTAAATTGGTTTTGAGAATTTGGTGTTCAATCAAGGGAACAACTTCAACCTGATAAATTTGAGTATTCTCATTACCTGTTTGCTGGATCATGTATGGATATTATAGGGAGAAGTTACAGGTTAATCACTTCTGAGAGTTAAAGGGTTAATTAATCTACAACGCAGTTAACAATGAAGTTTTGGCATATCAACTAAAGTACTGGTGATCTTTTACTGTGCACTTTAAAAATCTGAAACTCATTTTTGAGTGTATATTAACTAGATACAAGTTTACATTCCTAAAAACTGAATAGCTAGTATTGTGCATGTGCACATGTGAAACAGCTTTAGCAAGACTACTGTCCCAAAGAAAGCCAGTCATTTCCAAAAAACTCCAAGTAAAAATGTTCTGTTAGGGAGTGACCCTGCCATTCTTAAAGTAATACTGACCTTAACTACTTTAGGCACTCTTGTGGCAGCCTTCATTAAGTCATCTGATGCTAAGTGTGTTCTTCTAAGAACCAGATCAAGAGAAGGTCCCATTTCTTCAACCTCAACACGTGGAGTGCGGCTTCCTGATTTCTTTAGCAATACTCTGAAAAAAAATATATATTTACACCTTACTGAGGTAACATTGACATAGAAAGAAGTCGGAAAGAAGAAAAACTTCATTGAATTAATTAGTATATAGCATAACAATACATTGCTCATTGCTTGAAATTGCTGAACTAAATCTGATACTCTCAAGAAGTTTAAAAGAATTTTTTAGGAGGAAATTCTATGAAAATAGTTCAGCTGCCATTAGCATGTAGCCAGAGGGTATGTAGTTTTAAAATATTACTGGTATGCTGATAATTTTTTGTAATTAGTTGCATACATATTATATTTCAGCAATCACACCAATCCAACAAGTCTTCAAAGATCATTAGATCTGGGACGATATTATATCTCTGTCAGTTTTAATGAAAATGTTGCAGAAATCAGTCTCCCTCACAACATAACATTTTTCACAACTTGACTTCATTTTCATTGGATGTTATTAACTTTATTACCAGAGAGGCCTCCATAAATATCTCAACCAGAGTTTAAAATATGAAATTATAAAAATATTTTTTTTTATACCTGTAGCTTCTCAGGTAAATTTTCCCATCCACAGCTGTAAATTGTAGCACATGCTCTAATCCCTGTAATCTGACTTTCTCTATTACCGGTCCTCTGTAAAAGTCTGAAAACAAAAGGCAGTTAACAAATTAATGTAATGTCCACATTGTGCACTGTTTACAGTGTCACATGTTTATTTAGGCTACTCTTTGAGTGAGTACCCAAAATAACTGACTTTGGAATGAATTAAATTTTGGCCTTTTGACCCCTAGGGTGACTAGCCTGTAATTTCTCCTTAAAATATCATCCCTAAATCAAAAATTAAGGTCATGAGAATAAAAGAAATGATCACCAACTAATATTAAAGCTCTTGATTGTTAAACAAATTCTCCTTGTCAGCACCTTAAGAAATGCATAGAGAACAGTATGGAGAATGTGCATACTGATGTTAGGGTGTTAACAGTTAATACAGCCCCGGATTCACAAATAACATGGTCTACCACTAGCTTTGATGTTTTATGGAAAAAAAAAAAAAGCCAGGAAACAAACCTATGAGAATACTTTTCAGACGTTTGTAAATGACATCATTTTCAAATTCTTGTCCAGAAAATAGCAAGCAAGGCTTGGTGCCAACTGAACACTTCTGAATCTGAAAAATAAATTTAAATGCAAAACACAAGTCTCATGTAAACATAATACAACACCAGGTGTTTTGTTTGGAGTTCCCCTACATGAAGTTTTACGTTTTTAAGGGTCTGGCTTGTGTACCTGACTTCAGTGGATCATTAAAAATAACTCACTCATACTTTCACATGATAATGATAGACTCAACATGCAAACTGAATCTTGAAGGTAACAAATTCTGTCCTTACTTTAAACTGACTTAGTGACAGAAACTTGTCAATTCCTAACTCAATCATGTCCAAGATATGGCCATCAAAACAGCGACCTGAAAGGTGACAAATCCTTTGTTAAACTTGAACCATTGTAAATAAACTCATCAAGGACTGATCATGTAGTAGTTATTGTATTTAATATTTGACTAACGAAATCATCTTTTATTGCAGGCCAGTATTAATCTCTTTCCATTGAGCTGGTTTAACTCTTTCACTCCCAGTAGTGACCAAGACATATACTCTCCTTAAAATACCAATACAACATCAAGCAGACAAGTGATGAGAACATGGAAAATTATCAGTTAGGGGATTATCATTTGATCCATGACTAAAAATTCTCAAAATGAAAATGAACCAATCTATGGTAAAAAGTAAGAATTACTAAAGAGATCTTGAAAGTGAAAAGGCCAGGATAAGTAGCTTGAAATCTGATTAAATAATGACACTTACCTATAACCAGATTGTGAGACCTCTTCTTGGAATGAGACCCAAAGAGAAATAAAGCTGCATCATTCTTAACACTGAAGAATTCCTAACAAAAACAAATAAAGTATCCTTAATTAACCTTTGTGAGAGCAAACATCTTGCCCTTTCTTAATTTGTTGTGTGGCTGAGACAAAGGCTTAAGTCTTACTGGCAACATATGAATCAACTTGGATTGGTTCAAATTGCAAATTACGGGAACTTGGACTATAAGCAGTCACAATTATACCGCATCACTTAAATTTATGATTGACCCTGTGTGCAAGACTCTCCAATCCCACTGTGACTTATGCATGTTAGACGTACACACTATATAACCTAATCAAAATAACGTTTCACAATGGTTGTTATGATCGCCTAGTAAGCATCTTCACTTAGCATAATTATAGATATTTGACTGTGAAAACAAGGAAATTAATATTTTTCCTGCATTCCTTTCAATGTAAAATAGGGTTTTCATAACAAACTGAATAAACATCCTCTGTCAGATAGACGATATTCATCCTGTTAATATTGTCTCTTCACTTTGTTTAATCTTCTTTCAAATATAAAAATGCTTTGGCAGACAACATACAAGGAAAGACAGTACAAAGTATGAAAGTGAAATTCTTTCTGCATTGCACTTACAAGTGAAGTGTGATCTTCAAATGGTCGCATGATATTTTTCCTACAAACAATAAAAAATAACTTCTGCAATCAGCCAGGACTGGCCCATGTGGTTGGTGATTTACATGGTTCCCCAAACACGAAGGAAAAAGCATGTAAGTTACAATGAAGAAACCAAACTATGTGAAATTCCAAAGGAAATTTACAATAAAGAAACCATCATAAGAGGGCAATAATTGTGCGTGAAATATATTACCTTTGAAACATGACTGAGTTAGGTTTTTTAAGTAAACACTGAAAAGAAAGAGTAAAGCAGAAGGTTCATCACCGGCAATTAAATTATGTAGATCTCAAATACACATTATGGTAACTATTTAGTTTACAACTGGTGTTTAACTTTTAACACCTCAACTCCAAGAAGTAACAAATATGCAGCTTCTGTTACAAATATAAAAAAAACACCTAGCCAACAGGATTTGAGGACAGAAAAAGTAATACCAGCTCAAGAATATCGTGCGCTGCGTTGAAATAACACCAAACTCTGTTATGCAATTTACAACGAAATGTAAGGCAAGGAGAGTTGGTGATCAGATCTTCGAAAGAAGATGAAAACACATTTCCACGTGACAAATTTACAAATTAAGAAAAAACTTCATCTTAATCCAGCTCTACATACACAGCCACTTTTTCAACATTTTCGTCAAATCATGCTGATCCCGTTCTTTCACTGACTCACCAGATCTTTCATGGCTTGAGTCACAATCTCGCTTGTCTTGCCACCCCGCAGGAACAAAGCAGTTTTGGTGTTTTCAATAATCTTCGGCGCACGCTGTTCGACTGCCCGTCTTCCACGTTGTGTTTTTGGACGCCTGTTGAACACCAAGAACAAAAAAAAGGTGCTTCTCAGACTCAAATAGTTCCTGTGTATCAATGTTCAAAGGATAAAGGTGGATATTTGGGAACATAGCTAGCAAAACCGAACTGTCTTACACTACTCCGGTGCCCGGTGAAGCCGCCATCTTAGATAGCTTTCAAGAGAGAGGTCTGGAATCGAAACTTATACAGTCCCAGTTCCAGAACTGTCCCAGCGAGTCCCCAGCCCAGAGTTCACTAAACGGTATCAAAGAACGGGATGAATCGAGGCGGAGGGAGGGGGTGGAGGAATAAAATTATTTCTTGGATATTACCTTATGTGGTCGTAGCCTTATATGAATAAGTAGTTTAAGACTGCATTTGGCGACTGATACAGCATAATTAATTTTAATTTTTTTGGTATTGAAAAGAACTAAAGGTTGGACAGCGACTAGGCATTTATCGATTATGCTAGCATCATTTTTGGCATAATTCGAGCAAACTGGCATAATTTCTGCCAAGTAGCAATGCTAGCATAATTTGCGCATTTTGGCAATTATCAGATCATTTTTGATGTCATTATTTGATAATTTTTTGTCTCTAGTCCCAAGCACTTGGTGACCTTAATCGATATTTAAAGTTTTAGTTAAACTAGTAGCATTTGTAGTTCACTGTGAAGCACTGAGCCCGGGTCTAACCTGAACCACATGTTTATTTGAAATTCATTGTGGATTTGTTGCGTTTCTTTCCTGTAGACAAACGGCTTCTAGTTAAAAGATATATATTTTGGACTTATTTGCATTTTTTCAAAGAGCATAATTTAAAAAAACGGTGGCATGATTTGGAAAAAAGAGCATAATGTTAGCATAATTTGGCCAAAAAAAAAGCAATGCTACTAGCATAATATGCCACTTTTACTAGCATAATCTATAAATGCCTAACAGCGACGCTGCGCTAGAAGGTAGAGCTGCAGAAGATTTGTATTTACATGCAAAGAAAGAAAATCTGCCGTGTCCCGCATATTCCACACAACCGCCGCCTGGTTTGCTTAGTTGGTACCAAATGGTTATCATAATAATAATAACAATAATAATGATAATAATAATGATAATGATAACGATAGAAGTTTCCACAATGAGAAATCGGCCACTGGCGCGATAGACGGGCGCGATAGACGGGATATCCACAAAAAAGATTCTATGATAAACACCTTTTCCATTTTTTTTTTCTTGGTCAGAACGAGAAACTCATAATTTATCAAAAAACGTGACTTATTTTCTCATTTCTCATTTCAAAATTTTTTCTTTTTGCAGCCAAGCCGCAAGAGTTCGGAGCCAAACGTTTTTTTCCGGACCGGCTCACGTCAGCTATAGGATTGCTCAGTGCCGGACGGGTACGATCAATAATGCATGTTAAGTTGAAAGTCGGTTGATAATTTTTAGATAGTTTCCCTAACGGTTAAAGAATGCGCTCCGAAAAGCCAACTAATGAAATAATTACTGAATTCGGTTAGCACGCAATATTGTGATATGTCAAAGACGAGCAGATCATTTATTTGTTTCGCCACAGGCTCGCCGCTAACAAATATTGCTCAACCTGATCTAATTATTAATTATTTACATTAGTAAGTTGGTATGAACGTGATCTTAAACAAAAAGTGAGAAGATGGACGTTTTATTTTACATCCAGTGAGTATCAATAAACCATTGTAGAGGAAATGTCTTTCTTTGACTTGCATTGGTCAATTCAATTGTATTTAGAGAGAAGCAGATTATTCAGTGCGAAGTGTCCACGGAGCGTAAACGAAAAGGTTCTACATGTAAGCTACCCAGGATTCACTTCGATGCCGAACGCAAAGCGCTGAAAATTTGTGACAAAGAAAATTTGATAATTACACAGCTTATGGAACAAGCTTTGTTCCCTTACAGCTTTGGATGGATTACATTCACACGTAATCTGCGGAATTTATGTAAGCGACTGAAAACTTGTTTGCAAACAGCATTAAAGTACTTATGAGCTGCTAAAAAGTTTTGGCCGTATTCGAGAATACACACTCGAAAGGCATTGCCTCTTTTACTAAAACGGCTACCGGAGACATAGGAGTGGTTCTCGAACGTGTTATTACTTCAATTGTCTATCTCAAACTGTATTGATTTCTTAAGAGATATCGCCTAGTTATCAGACTCGAAAAATGAAGCTAACATCTTTTCTCGCAACAAAGTTGGACCGGTTTGAAAGTAAACGTACCAAGTCATGTCAAAGGGCGTTTACCATCTTGGCCATTTTTTATCACAAAATTTTCCTAAAATAAAATTCAGTGATTTGTACATCAACCTTCTCTTGACTAAAGAAGCTTTAGCATCAAACGAACTTTCATTGTTCTGTTGACAATAAAGTCATCAAGTAGGCTATCATGAGAAGCCTCTTTGTTGTCGTTCTGTTGTCTCTTTCCTCAAGGGATGACCCTGTATTACCTCACCGCTTATTGCAGACGAGCAAAAGTCATGCAGGTATTGTATAAGAGAGTGAGTTAACGTCCGGTCATGATCAGCTCGCAAGAAGTACGCGCCATGTTCAATTTTAAAATGGAACCCCGATGGAATTCCGAGGTTAGGCAGATAATGCAGTCGAATGCCAAAGACGAGAAAAAACTCAAGCTGCAGATTAACAGGATAAATAGCGCAAAGAGAGTACAACTGGATAAAATTGATGGAGAGATGATGATATTGCGAAAGCAGTTACTCGAGGATCGTAAAATTCTCGGCACTCGGAGTGACATCAAAAAACGCGACGAGAAAAACGGAGATATCCTTGACGTGGGAGGCCACAAAGATCAGAAGGTTCCCATTGTGAAGCCAATGATGGTGGGATTCCAGAAAGCCGAGGTTCTAGACCGAAATTGTTTCAAAAATTTTCAAGAACGCTCGCGTCAAAGAACTATGGAGCAACACGAACCTAGACCCCATCTAAGTAGAATTGGGGCTACTGAAAAAGACGAGAATAACAATTTTAGGAGAAGAATGTCCGATTTGGGAATGCTACAACCATCGTGTTCAACTCCGTCGATTCGGGTCGGCCGTCGGCACTCCATAGCAGAAATCAATTTGAATGATACGCTTCTGAGTAAAATTTGCGCACAAACAAATGCAGGCGGTTCGACGATGAAAAAAAGTGCGTCTGGAGCGTTCACGGCGGCAGCGGACGTTAAAATCGATCATCCTCGTTTGGGGCAAAGAAGAGGAAGCCTTCCTCCCGCTATGGGTTTGCCTAAAATAAAAAATATGAAATTTCAACCCGAACGAGGCAGCAAATTGGAAACTGAAAAAGAGAGAAAAATGACGAGTCAGGATACAAAATTAGCAAACTTTAGCAGAAGAAGAAGAAATTCTCTGCCAAACTTCGACATCTCACCCACAAATAGAGATTCGATGGCTTGTAAAGAACGCCTAACAGCCAAACTGATGCATTCTAAGCCAAAACCAAGCAGTGCAGTTGGAAGAAATGTTGTATCACCGACTGAAACGTCCATTTTCGGGAGAAAGTTCAAGAGAAAACCAACGCCCATCAGTGAGAAATCAGATGAAGGAAATTCTGGGAATGAACAAGGTGATGAAGACGATGAAAGCTTATCGCTGGATAGGCCATCGCTTACAGAGGCAAATGATCCTGGCTCAGATCAACCACATTCGTGTGAACAAGAGCTCAGCTTTATTCCAAAAGCCACACTAAAAGAAAAGATGGATAAGTTCTTCCTTGAATGGGTAGATGAACTGGAAGAGGAACCAAGGATTGACATAGAGGAACTTTTGCAAGAGTTTAAAAAAGAGAAAGAGGAGAAAGAACAACAAAAATCAGATGGCCCCGTGAAAGATCGGGAGATGAAGTGCACTGAAAAGGATGCACTGTCCCAATGTGCAGGACAAGAAAGTTTTCCCACGGAAGAAGAGAAGTGAATTAAAAACTATTTTATCGTTTTCTTTTACCTGTGTATTCACAAAAAGACAGCAGATGACGCTGTTTTAACAACTTAAGTAAAGCAAAAGATCTGAATTCGCCAAAACAGACTTGATATAGAATTGGTTAGGGAAAGTTAGGAATAAGTTTTTGACGTCTTGCCAGGAAAAAGATAAGTTTTCTCATTCGAAACTAGGCTTTGATAATATCTTGTTTTGTAGGTTGTACATAGAATTTGGAGGATAATGCAAAAGCAAAACTTAGTAGAAATAACGGTATAAGTACAAAACTACAGAACAAATTGCTGCTATTTCAGGATCCTCTGCTTCGTAATATCATACTTCGATTGCAAAAGATGTACATTTTGTACAAGCTGTAAATTGCTGATATGTTTATACATAACGTTATCTTTATACAATAATCATTTAAACAAACAGAAATAAAAATTGTTGTACAACATGTTGATGTTTGCTTGTTTTCTATTGTTATCATTATTAATAAGCGCACACAGAGAAAAACTAATTGCAATTGACGAGGTCAAGTGCTAGGATTAAGGTTTATCGTTCAAGGCCTGTGTAAAAATGACAAAATATAGATCTACCCCCAGCCGAGAACTACGTGATCTATTATAAATAGTGGACGAGACTGATAGCTTTTTCAAAAAAAAAAAGATAAAAAGATTTTTGCCGATGGAGAGGATTAGTGGAAACATAGCGGAAAGTATGACAACAGCGTTAATTAAAAACCGTACTTGACGTGACGAAAGAAAAAACTTTGATAAAATGGAAATCACTTATGTCCGAGTTCACTATATTCCGGAGAATCTAGTCTAGCACTGTTTTAATCATAGAGCAATTTATTAAATATCATTGATAAAAAATCCTATCTACAGACTATTTGCAATATTAAAGGCAGATTAGTTTAATTCTAAGGGTTTGTCGAAAGATGGTGCATAAGAGATGTCCGAAGTACCAATATCTGAAAAAGAACTTCACAACACGAAACTTAACCTAGCGCTCACTTTGATTTGATCTTGCCCACTAAACCTTCCACTTCGATCTCACGCACTTAACTTAGCGCAGGAAAATCGCTTTTCATTATTCTAAGAAGTAACATAGAATTAACTCTCAATTAATTAATTTCGAAAGCAAGGAAAGACGGGGGGGGGCTTCTAACTGGACAAAGATCTTTAGAAGGGAGAGGTCGGACAGGCGAGATTATTGCCAGGCGAGTGCCGAAGATCCTTTTCTTGCCGGCCAACAGATCTTAGAGCATGGTTTTGGTAAAAGATCTCCAACATAACTTTACGTTTATGCAAGTATGTTATGGTTCCTTTTTTGGTTTCTATTCAACATGATAAACGTAATTATAGACCACTTTCATAAATGGCTGCCAGATTAATATTCTTTTGTTTAAATTTAAATTAGCCCTACTGGCCTCGTTCTCTAGTACAAAATTCAAAAGAATACATTATCTCAAGCGAGGCCAGAAGGGCTAATTTAAATTTAAACAAAAGAATATTTCTACGGCAGCCATTTATGAAAGTGGTCTGTACAGCTCCCCTCTCGCCCTCTCATTTTTTATTGAAGGCGCCAGGGACCCTTCTTTACTAGCCATGGCTATTTTAATGACTGGAATTAACTGGTGCTTTTTTTGGTAGCTCCCTTGAGGGTTATGTTTATATAAAACGCCTCAGGAGTAGTATAAATAACTTCATTATATAATATAACATCTTGTACACACACACGTGCTGCAGAATGTGTGGAGTTGAAGGGGCGTGCAGTTCACGAGTTTTAGGAAACTTGTCATAAATATCAAAACACCATTTTCTTCATATTTTTTATTGTCTTGCTTTTGAACAAAAAGGGAGAAAATCCTCTCATGGAAATGTTTAGGATCTAAATTTTGTACAAGTAACTTCGTGTTGGTATAAACAGTTTAGAGCAGACCGGAGAATGCTTTTTTCGTGCAATTTTGAGAACGATTTGAAGGGTACTATTTATAGCTGGAGTTTATTGAAATTTAATCCTTTAATCAAGATATCTTTTCGGAAGCTCCCTGGAGAGTTTTTACAATATTGCACTTTTTAGAATTGATATCAATAGCAGCGTAAATGGTTTTTTTTTTTTGTTAAAGACTACATGAAATGAATGTATTTGGGAAAGTACCGTCTTACTCAGTACGGAATCAATGTTTTGTACAGCTACTTTGAGTGCCCCCAAAATATTTAATTAATTTTAATTAATATAGAACAAAGATAGAACAAAGCAAAGAAATTGAACATTGTTGTTCACGATAGAAGAAAGCAAAGAGCTTAAAAGCTCTTTGCTTTGTTCTATCGTGAAATTTGTTCGAATATTGAGCTAGACTTGTCAACGAGAAGTTGTACGAAAAAGAACGTTATGAATTTTCCTTCCAAATTGGCGTTCTTTGTTCGCCGCAAATGAAAAATGAAGCCATCCGTGACTACTAGCTTTAACCATGAGCACGGTTCATTAAATTATGTTACATAGAAGAATGCTCTCAGACCAACTATAATGCCTTATGCTAAGTAACGGTTTGCCTTATCTTTGCGTTCTTGATACTGCATGGTCGGTAATATTAACACTAAAAAGCTTCTGGCATGTTTTGACCATACTGTGTCAGTTTTTCTTGAAATTCTCGTTTGCATGTACATGCCCATACACCTGATCATCACATGCACGCGTCTCAGACATAAAGCTTAAGTTGATTACAGCCAAAATCACGAAAAGACTTCGTCCTCTGAGGTAGATACTTTTTTCGGCAGCTCCCATGGCCAAGAGAATTTAAGCAATAGACGACTCGAAAAGTTTGTAAATGATTTGCCTCCGGCTCGTGATTTACAAACTTCTCTCATGTTCTCCCAACAACCCCCGCGCAAGTTATTACATCAGTAAACCGATAGAAATTGTGGTCTATTGCTTTCATTTAACAGACCCTCAACAAAACAATTTCGTAGTTTACCGGTGTAATAAACGATAGGTTTTTGACCAATATTGTATTTTCTCAGTTATTTTAAAATTATCACCAACAGCACTCCCATTTGACCAACCAAGTTAGCACGAAACACTGTCTTCTACTTTTCTTCAAGTGCTACAAACTGAGCTTTAGGCGCGATACAAAGTCACCCTAGGCGGTAACCTTTACTCAACTCACAGAATTGGATTCCACTATCAATGCATAATTGGCCGTTTTTATGCTAAAGACGCTAAAGTCGTCTTAAGACGACTTTAACGTTTAGCTTTAAAACGGTAAATAAGGCAGACGACTTTGACGTCTCATATGTTAAAGTCGTCTGGTATAAAGACGGGACGTCGTAAACTAGGACGCATTTATGCTCGACGCGTCGTTTGGATCGGACGGCACACAAACCTATTGCTTTGGCTGTGTCTATTTCATCATCTTCCATCATCTGAAGTTTTCGCTTTCTCGATTCACTTTTTTGTGTTACGAACATCTGCATTTCTAAGTCATGCCTTTCTTGGCGACGGCGAGAAATAGACTTTAAAAGTTGTAACGCCGCCGCCATGTTGGAGTTTGACCAATTTATTCGCATTTCGCGGGCTTGAAGTTCATTTTGGCGCCGCTTTAACTCGAGTCCACTGTCTTCCGAGAGTAGAGCTTAGTCCTTTTTTCAGAAAAATCTACTTAATTAAATAAGGTCGTCTATTTTATGCGTGTCGTTTTTACACTAGACGACTTTGAGGTCTCAGACGTTAAATGCGTCTAGACGACTTTAACGTCTCTAGCATAAAAACGGCCAATCTTTATCTATTGGATAATACAGCGGCGGGTCTAAAACGCAGGTCACAGGTCACAGGTCACAGGTCACGGTGATGAGTAAAGGTTCGGTTTATTTTTTATCCATTTTAAGTGCCGATTTATCATTTGATATTAAAACGTCAGTTTTTGCAATAGGTTTTGTCGTGGTTTACACTCGAATTTTTTTTCTAAAATCGACGAAACATGAAAAAAGTAAATTCCGGTACTTCTGTGGCTTAGATTTCACGTCTACCTAGACTTATCAATGAGCGTTTTCAATGCAAAGAGGCTATCAACTGTCTCGTGCATTCTTCCAAAAACAATCTTGTTCGAATCAAGCTTTTCAGTTTTCTTTTCAGCGGCTTCAGTTGGACCACAAACAAATTCATGTGCCCAAAACCTATGAGCCCGAAAACACGCAAAAATCCAGCGGAGTTGCTCATTTCGTGACATTCCGAATGGCAAGTCTCACGAAATTCGATGTCTGGGATTTCTGGCCATGATGGATTCATCGAGCTATGAGGTAAGAGACTAAAAAAATTCGAGTGTAAACCACGACAAAACCTATTGCAAAAACTGACGTTTTAATTTCAAATGAGAAATCGGCACTTAAAATGGATAAAAAATAAACCGAGTCCTTTACTCGTCATCCCGGGTCATCCCAAGGTGGTATGTTGTCTAAGTGATCACGACCTGACCCATGACCTGTGACCTGCGTTTTAGACCCGCCTATAGTACAGTACGTTTAGGTAACACTTATCCGCTGGATAGCAATTTATCCGTTGGATAGCGTTATCCGCTCTTTCAACAACCAGGCCTTGGTGTTTTTCTGACAAATTAACGTTCTTTCCATCACCCTATGTCAAGGCAATGGCCATTTAGAGTCTAATCGCTCGAACCTTGAACTGAAGTAGTGAAAAATTGAGTCTTGTAAACGTTTCCAAGCTTCACTCTAGAACTTCGGAAGTTTACTCTCCACACGAATTTTATCTCATGCTCGCTTATAAATTCGCCTACTTAATTGTAAACAGATACACACGAAGATCAAAGAAAACTTGCAGCCTTTTGGCTTATCAAATATTGATGGGGATCATGAAAAAGAAAAGATCAGAGAGCCTTCTGGGGGATCAGGTTAATTTTATTGTCCTACAACCAAAANTGAGCCTCAAACAAGTTAATATGAGTAAATTTTAATTTTCATAACAGCTGACACAATTACTGTACAAAGCAACTGTACAAAACAAACGGAATATTTTCGTCCTCAGGGGAAAAAACAATTCCTGCCCAAAGGTAAGTTTTTCAATAAAACCTGCAATGCAAAACTGCAAAACGAAACTAAATCAATAATTTTTTTTTTGTCAAAAAAAGTCATTTCCAATAATTTTCATGTTTAAAATTCACAATAATTTCTTCCTCCTCTTATCTCCTTATACAGCGGACTCTAAGGAATCTTCGTTCACTTCAACTGAACTCGGCTTTTTATTTGCTGACGTCACTTCCGCCTTGGGTGCTGACGTCACAGGCGGTGATACTGTCTCTTTTTCATCGCGCGACTTGACTCCTTCTGTTGTTTGCGAAGAAGCTTCAACCCCATCGAGACTGGGTTCTGTTTGCTTAACTTCTGGATCACTGTTCCCAGAAACTGTATCCGTAACCTTTGCTGTGAATTCTGCTGGTTTTAACAGTTGTTTTGTGGGAGGAAAGTTACGTTCAGGAGTGGGAATTTTGTCCAACAAATCAATCGACGAAGAATCTGCTTTGGTCTCCGCGCTCATCTCTAATCTCTGCTCTGATGTAAATTTCAACTCGGATTCTTGAAACTCCAAAGTTTTCTCCTCCGATTCACAGCTTTCTTCGGTGAGAGGGTCTGATTCTGCGTAAACGGGTTCTTCATAGTTCACACTCTTCGCCAGACCTCTTTGAGCCAAGAGCAACCCTATGGAAAATTCCTCGATGCATCCGTCATCTCTCACTGTATGTTCGTATAACATCACACTAGCTGGTGGTCCACTAAACTAGAGGAATACAAAGAGAAATAGAATTGAATAGAAAAGAATAACTTACTTAATGTCGAAGACGTGGGAAGTGTTTGCACAATCTTCCGAGCCAGAGGCTCATGTTAAAAAAGCTCAAAAAACTAAAAATACAAAACAAAATGAAATGTTAATTATGCACACACAAATATAAAAAACCCTAACCATTAAGTACCTCGTAATTTTGGGAAAAATTTCTTGAAAGCATCGTCTCACTCACGTTCATCCTACCTTAGGGAAGGTACGTTTTTTATTGGGGGG